GGGGGCAATGACCCTCACTGCATGGGCCTGTGGGAAGGGCTGTTTAGAACTATTGACTGGCTGTCCAGTATAAATAAAGTAGCTTTAGTTTACATTTCCTCCTGCGGTAACACTGGACCAGAACAGTTTAGAACTGATACAGCTTTCCAGACCAAAGTTAGTTTACGATAGTTTTAGTTTTGCTTCACCGAAATAAGTCTATAGGTACATAGGAATAGACATAATTAATAAGCAGCACTTTATTGTGTTATATTATTTAGGGTTTTTGCTCTCCTGGATGTGTATCTTGACGACCAAGGTGCTGCCCAAACAATTTTGGAGACGTCTCCAGAGCTCCTGGCTAAACTACTAACCTTGGCGCGGAGCCTGGACCCGGGTGAGAGGCAGGTTGTGATGGAAAACCACTGTGAGGAATTGCGGGCGCTGTTTAAGGAATATGTACGTCCGGTACATCACGAGATCTCGACGGAGAAACGACGATCCAATATGCCGAGTCAGTTCGATATCACGCGTGAATTTCCGATCGTATTCGGGTGCGTGTTCTCGCGTGAACTCACGTCCGCGCACTATGTGTGCGACCCTGTGGATAATGCATCGAGTAAACAACCTCGCGGGGCATTGGTTTTTGCAGATAAACCTTTCCCTGAACGTGTAAGTAATATACAGGAACGTTGGGGATTGATAGGGATACAAGAGGGAGCGAAGGCCCTACGTGGCTACTAGTTAGTTAGTTAGTGAACTTTATTTAAAAACACGGTGTCTCATCATTACAAAATGCTCTTCCTGGGAGCCGTGTACATGCATAATAAATATTTACAACAGTTATGATATATATAAAGGATAAAAAACGGTGGTAAGGCACTCAAGCTATCACATGTTTTAGTCGCCTCATCAAGAAAATTCCAGACAACGGCTCCACTATAAGCAAGGCTGCTTTTCATAAAATTAGTGTTTGGTTTTGGGATAATTCAATTAAGTTTACTACCACACACATCGTGGTCATGCATTAACCTTACCAACGAAGCCTTCGCTCGAAACGGCGAAGTTCACAAGGAAACGAGCTCTATAGTCACATTTCATGGTGCGTATACTCCCAGACTTGGAAGAGACAGTACCCTCAAAATGGCGGACAAATCGAGCGTGAGAAAGGCTAACTGTGATTGATAAACATCTGTTGCATGATGGTATTTAGTAGGAACACACCTACACATACTAACTTATAGAACTTTTTGTTTTTGGAAACATCACGTAAATTTATTACTGCAAAGCTTTCGATCCGTAAGCCCGATGTATTATGCATATTATTAGCACTGATGAAGTTCCGGGCTTACGGATCGAAAGCTTTGCAGTAATAAATTTACGTGATGTTTCCACAAACAAAAAGTATTATATGTTTTATCGCCATGCAAACCTACAAAGAAGTTATTACCTACTAACTTAACTTATTACATACTAACTTATCTAACTTTGTTTCCCTAGACCACATCGTATTACTGGGAAGCAGATATCGTGTCACTGGGCGAGGGTGAAAATTGCGAATCTGGACCGTTTCTATCATTTGGTTTTATGCCTAATTGTTCCCCGACTGACGCTTCGTGGACAACTCCTGTTGGGAGCTGTCTTATTCACGCTTCTGGTCGTGCTACACATTATCAAGCTGGTGGACCGCTCTCGTGGAGTTCAGTCACGCTTAATCTGAGCATGCGTGAACATGACGTCATAGGCTGTGGTTGGGAGAGACTGGACCCTACTGAGATCGAGGATAACTCGCGTGTAACAGGCAGAGTGTATTTCACTCGGAATGGTAAAAGATTGGCTGAGGTTTTGGATGGCGTTTCTGCCGGTCTGTTTCCTGTTGTTCATATTCAAAAGAAGGTCAGTACAAATGTCTTTACTGGTCTATACAGCACAACTAGAGTTAGTTTAGTTTAGGTTTCCTCCTGTAGTAACACTAGATCAATAAGAGATGATCCTTACTGGGCATCTAGGACGAACAGTTTAGAACTGATAGAGCTATCCAGTATAAATAAAATTAGTTTAGTTTAGGTTTCCTCCTGTAGTAACACTAGATCAATAAGAGATGATCCTTACTGGGGCCTCTAGGAAGAACAGTTTAGAACTAATAGAGCTATCCAGTATAAATAAAGTTAGTTTAGTTTAGTTTAGTTTACATCTTTACTTGTAGAACATCCGTGTGTTGGTAAACCTGGGCTCGCGTACATTCCGTTATCAAGAAGCGAACAACCAGAGATCCTCACAAGAAAGCATACAAAGCTTGTCCATGGAGGAGGTTCGAGCAAACCTGGCGGAGTTGCCGTTTTGTGACTGCAGTGAATCTGATGAGCAAGAGGAAATTATTGATGATCCAAGAGGCGGAGTTCGTTCTAGAGAGAATGAAGGTACATGTTTTACCTATATATCATTAGAGTTGTGGGGCTGGCTGTTCCAAATCCGATTAGCTTAACCCAAGGCTAACCTATAATTCACAGCAAACTTCCCAATAGTAAATTTGACAGCAAACTTCCCGATAATAAATTTGGAAATATTTCTTGATAAATCTTTTTTTAATTAGGTACAGTACACCCAACTAGTTCTTCAGAAAGAGCGGACGAATCTTCAAACAGCTCAACCAGGTTGGAACAACAAGAATACGACTGCAATCTCTCACAACTCGAGTTCCTGTCCAGCAGTTATGATCTCATGTTAGACAATGGTCCTCCAAAATATATGAGTCCTGACGACGATGACACAAGCCATGGTCACAGGAAGCCCAGACAGTTACGTAAAGATCCCAGGAGTTTACTCGTCAAAGCGTGGGAGTCCAACGTGTTTCCCACCATACGTCGACGATTTCGTAGCGAGGCTGACAGAAGGTCTGGACTGGAGCAAATCAGAGGCGCACTCATGGAAGGTAAGGGAGAGTAAGAACCGTGGCGGTCAATACTACCCCCCCCCCCAGCAATAATTTCTGAATGCCTTTGAATGATTGTTGTGTTCAAGTGAGGCCAAATGCTACTGTTGAAAGTAATGTCCAACTTAGGCGGCAAATTTTAATATAAAAACTATAAAAATATAAAAATTTTAAAAAAATTTTAAAAATTTAAAAATTTTAAAAGGTTGCTGAATTTTAATAACCATAAAATCATTGGTATTTGGTAGGCTATAAATATAAGCTATATAAGATTTAGGGCAACAAAGTTTAAACAACTAAGATTTCCAGTTACAAAATTTGGTCATGTTGGCAACCTAACACCCCCAAAAAGAAAGAGTGCTGCTATGTTAAAGCCAGAGTGCTGCTATGTTAAACCCAGAGTGCTGCTATGTTAAACCAGACACCTTCGGCATGCCATATTATTGTTTTTAAATGTATTTGCTACATTTCCGTGAAGGTTTGATTGACATTGCGATATCTACTGTGGAAGATCTGTACGAGGACAGCGGAGGTTTGCCGAATTCCTTGACATTTCCTCGTATCGAGGATATCGAAGCTGAACTTGATAAAACAACAGTGCAAGATTTACGTCAAGCAACGACCGTTCAAATTGTGTGTTCATCAATTGAAGCACTGCCTGGGTTTGCTGTGCCTGCCATGAGGAAGACATTTGGCTTGTGTGGAGTTGTGCAGGAAATAGATAAGGTTGGTTGTTATTTACCAGTAATTACCCTATCCGTAAACTACAGTTATAGCAGAAGTAACTCTGTGGTAAATGACTGCGCGCTAACCCAGCATTGTTCTTATGTTATCTTATCATGCTTTATCATTACTTATCCCATCTATCATCCCCCCTCTTATCTTGTCCCGCTATCTTACTATTCTATTGTTCTTTTTTACCATTTGTCCTATCTTTGTTATCATTTCTTATCCCACTTTATCATTACTTATCCCGTCTATCATCCCTCCTCTCATCCTATCCCGCCCTATTCTTCCCTACCTCACCCTATCTTACTATCTCTAATCTTGTTTTCCCACCAGAGACAGGAACTGGTCCTCGTGGATGTATATATACGCGACGAAGGTTCCGTGGTTCGATACTGGTACCCAGTACACGCCGTGAAACCTCAACCGCCGGCATTTGGTCGGCTATCGTCGTTAACTTTCGTAGACCAGGAGAAAGCGAGCTTCGAGATTTATACAGAGTTATGGAACTGTGAGAATACTCTAACGAGAATGTACAGTCGTTCTGCGGCTATCAAACTGCTCGACTGTAAACACAAGTTACTCATGGAGAAACAAGGTGGGTTGAATGTAGGTAGGTAGGTAGGTAAAACTTTATTTCACCACGCTAACCTCTACAGCAGAAAGCTGATTTCCAAGGGGGGCGCGTACATATGCATATAAAATATCGGAAACATATTTACATCAGAGACACTATACACTACATATATATATACACTACATATATATATATATACACTACATATTTAAATAAAACTATAACAATATTATAATATGATTACCGGCCAGGCATTGCAAAATTAGTATTAAAGGAATAAAGAGAATCCTTAGTCCTTAATTCTTCTGAGAAGCTATTCCACAGTTTTGCCCCTCTAAAACTCAGACCTTTTAAGAAAGTCAGAGTGAGGATGAGGCAAAAAGAGCTTAGTGAAAGAGTGTCGTAAATTGTAATATTGGGAGGAAGGGAGGAATATGATTTTGAACTGTGTGTGCCAGTGTAGGTAGTGGCAACAATAAGAAAGCTTCGCATTGATAGGGATACATCTACCTGAAGAATACAAGCAGAACTTGTCCTTGTATTTGTCATGTAGTTGCCTATCAACGGAAGCTTTCTGAATAAGAATATAAGCTGTCGTGGATTTTATTCTATTCCCAGACGTCTTTTTCATGGCTTTATTTATCTATTGTGTTTGTGTTGATGCAGGTATTGCCGACGTGGAGACAACTTTAGAACAGATCAGTTTGCTTACGGGACATCACTTACGCGAGCCGCAATCAGACGGCACTCTGACAGCTCGCTACATTGCAACGACTTCCTCTTTGAAAGAAAGTCTTAAAATCACGTCGTGTTCTCCTGTCGCCGTCTTCTTTAAAGACGAAGAAATACTTCGCTCTCATCTTGCTCAACTCGTGTTGTCTTTGCTGAATGATGAGGGGAAGATGAGGGATGTTTGTGAACAGTTGTGCGCAGTGTTGAAAGATTATTCAGTATTGGGGAGCTACGAGCATCATGAAGTGTCCAGTGTGAAGTTGCATAAAGATGTCCACTTTCAGAATGTTGCAATGACGTCCATATCTTGCTTTGGTACTACGGATTATTTTATGCCAAGGTTGGTGTTTACCATTTGATACATGTAAGAACAAAACTAACTACTGCATAGCTCTATTACTTTTCAACTGTTCTCTCTGGAGTGCATCCATTATTGATTCAGTGTTACTACAGAAATAAACTTAAACTACTGTAAACTAACTTCATTAATTCTAAACTGTTCTCCCTGGAGGGAAACTCGATATCTTCTTAATTTATATTTTGTTTTCTTCGCTTTAGAATACGAGTACCATGTGTGGAGATGTTTGGCTACTATGGGCGACGACGCCTTACGAAAGATGGGAACGTTGATAAATACAAACTAACACAGTACCCTGATTACGCCGGACAGCACGCGAATTTCTTTGGCGATGGAAAAAATTGTCTAAACCCAGAGCGACTTCTTCCAGCCAATCGCTTTCATCTTCGCCTCGGTTCTAGTAATGCTAAGGGGCTTGTGCTGCGCTTGAATGGCCTACCTCAGGAGTTGCTGTTGTGTTTGGGCTTTATGGAAACATTGCTTGACATCGTCTCGAGGGTTTCAGGGGAGTCGAATCTTCAATCTTCTGAAGGCGGGGAAATTAGACAAGGACGTGAACCTGCATGTCTCGGAGAGATGTTGGAGCTACTTCAACGATTTCTGATCACAACTACAGCGTCTCCGTTCGTCAGGGAGTTAACATTTCACCTGCTCGCACAAATCTTACGTTTACTTGGAAAAACCGCTTCTACTGATCGCCTGCAGTTTTACTACGAAGCATCGTCGAGTTTCCTCACTTCCCTAAAGAGCGAACTTTTTAAATTGATGGAAAAAGAAGTGTCCATCTCGCGTACTAACGCTTTGGAGTACGTCCTGAATTGTAATTTTGAGAAAGTCAAGTTTTCCTCTTATCTCCAATCCCTTCTTGAAGTTGTCTTGGCTACAGTCGAGGTACAAAGGAGGGTGATGGGAACGGAGTGGGACTCCGGGGACTCTCCACGACAGAAGAGTACATTGTGGGATACACCTAGTGAAGATGTTACGGATCAGCCTACAACTCAGGTAGAACCCTAGTACTTCATGTTTGCTTGCAATATAGCTGCAGGGGCAGGCTTTTCACAGTGCTGAGTGTATGTGTCTTGTGCCTCTACGCCTGGGCTTATATTCGTACAATATTTAGTTGTTCCATTATAATTCCACTTCAGTCTCACGTGGGAATAGTTCTCCCAGTTTGACTCTACCAAACACCACAGATTTTCTCCACAGATTTGTTTGCTTTATAATTGCTTTAAAAACTGATCTTTGCGTATAATGAAAAAACAGTAAAATACAGCATACAATTTCAGCGTATATTTATTGATTACCCTTTTTTATTATGTTGAAATCTTTAAATAAGGAGGAAAGCAAAGTTATTTGCATGCGATAATTTGAAATAATTTTATTTCAAACTCAAAGTTTATCGATAAAAGGCAGTCCAGTTTTAAGAACATTTTACATATGAGGTACTTCGGTTTCCTCCCGTAATAACGAGTTTTTGATTTTCTATTTTTAGGACGAGCATGAAAGTGTACCGGTGTCAACATCCAGTAACCTGAGTATTGAGGTTTACACTGGGGGAAGTGACAATCCAGGATCCTTTATTCCATTCTTTGCTTCACTGCCTGTGATGAATGAGAATCAACGTTCTGTTGCTGCTGGAGAGAGCGCTCCGCCTGGAAGAATAGCAAGGTTAGTGTTTGCTTGAAACCTATCAATTGTGAAGATAGATTAATCATACATCTGAGTGCACATTTCTCATTTAGGGCGCAATCCTTGCGGCGTCAACGTTTCCGAGAACGCAAAAAGCGAAATTCCAAGAGAGCTTCCTCGCAGGAATCGGGAGTGAGAAGCGAAGAAGAGCGATTGGAGCAAACTCCGCCGTGGTATGAGAAACTCGTGAGCACGTTAGCCGTACTACGTCATTTAGTGCGAAACGAAAGCTGTGGAAAGTCTGTGGCGTTGGATGCCCTGGGAACAAGTGTTGTGTTTCCATCAATGGCCTGGGATCGAGTTATTGTAGTCACTAATATTCCATCGAGTATCAGTGTTGATGTCGTCATTCAAGGTTCGTGGTTGCTGTGGTAATTTTGATGTAGAAAAATATTTTAAATCGAAATAACTCGTGATTGTTGTCGCGTGCCAGCTTGTGTTCTACTCGCATACTTTTCCCATTCTGTGTTTAAGCTGGATTTCCACTAACAGCATTGAAATGAATAGAACTGGAATGCTGCCTCCAACCGTAAATTTGAAGCCAAACTAGAATATTCCAGTCTCGAGAGATAAAGGATTCTCTCATTTATCTTTGCAGGCATAACGAAGGCAGCTCGTTCGGCTGGGGGCATACTGCCTGATGGGGGAATTTACTTACAAGATGAACTTGTCATAACCAGGCCGCGCGGCGATGAAGAGACTGGAAACCAGTCCTCCGGTGACCAACCCGTGCAGTCGTACAAGTCAGCGGTTGTTCAGCTACGTACGAGCCTGCAAATCGACCGAGTCCGACAGCGGTTGCAGCAAGAAAAAGCATTAACCAATGGAAACTCGTCAGGAGGCGCACTACAGGTACCGTCATTTGAATCTACCTTGCAAATAAAAACATTGTCAATGATCACGTTTAAGATATCTTTTTCAGGTACATGTAGTTCAGACACAAACCACGACAGCTTATTGTAGAATACTACCTACACTCGACCACCACACGTTTGAGATATCTTTTTCAGGTAGTTCAGACACAAACCACGACAGCTTATTGTAGAATACTACCTACACTCGACCACCACACGTTTGAGATATCTTTTTCGGGTAGTTCAGACACAAACCACGACATCTTATTGTAGAATACTACCTACACTGGACCACCACGTTTAAGATATATTTTTCAGGTAGTTCAGACATAAACCACGACATCTTATTGTAGAATACTACCTACACTGGACCACCACGTTTGAGATATTATAGTTGAATATTAATATAGTTTAATTTGTAACCATTCTAGATTCTCAAAGTGAATAAAATGCTGCTGTTCGAAGGTGGCTGGGCTGTGACGAAGTCGTGTCAAGCGTGGGAGAACTTCCTTCAAAGCAAACTGCTAGACAGCTCGGATTCATTCACACCCGCAACCCTACATGCTTTGAAAGAGATCTACTTGACCTGTCACGTCGCTTCGCGAATCGCAGCCGAGGACAAAGTTATCGAATACAAAACATCGCGCAGTTTGGAAACTGGTGATGAGAGTGACGTCATGGAGCTCATGGATACTAGTTCCATTCTTCTGTCCGCGCACGACATAAGTGAGCCAAATGCTGGGAACTTGATGTATACGTTTTTCAAAATTTTACGAGAGAGAACAAAGTTAGGTAAAGAAGAGTTATTGGATATTATACAGCAGTATGGTCGTGATGAGGAGGACTCTGGTCAAAAGTCGCTTCATTTTGAAGGATTCCTACACTACGTGAAGGACAACATCAAAACTGACAAGCGGCTTGCGTGGAAGGCGTTTCAGGCTTGTGGTTATGACTTTAATCATCAAAGGTAAAATTTTCTTTTACTATGCAGTACACTCGTGTGAGAAAAGTCTCTTACTGGACCTCTAGGAAGAACAGTTTAGAACTAATAGAGCTATCCAGTATAAATAAAGTTAGTTTAGTTTAGGTTTCCTCCTGTAGTAACACTGGATCAATAAGAGATGACTCTTACTGGACCTCTAGGAAGAACAGTTTAGAACTAATAGAGCTATCCAGTATAAATAAAGTTAGTTTAGTTTAGGTTTCCTCCTGTAGTAACACTGGATCAATAAGAGATGATCGTTACTGGACCTCTAGAGAGAACAGTTTAGAACTGATAGAGCTATCCAGTATAAATAAAGTTAGTTTAGTTTAGGTTTCCTCCTGTAGTAACACTGGATCATTAAGAGATAACTCTTACTGGACCTCTAGGGAGAACAGTTTAGAACTGATAGATCTATCATCCAGTATAAATAAAGTTAGCTTACTTTATCTAGCTTTTTCGGCCTCTAAACTGTTGTTTAAGTTGTGCTTCTTTAAATTAAATTCACTTTCTTCATGATCTGTTTCTTCCCGCCACTGCAGGTCTACAGAGATATTTCCATTTGAAGTGGAGCGAGAACATGAGAAGTGGAGTCTAGAAGATGATAAAACTTTGATTAAATTTATCGATGATATTTCCAAGAACCTTTCAGCTTCACCTCAACGCCTTAATGCTGAGGAAATTTTCTTGGAAAGCGATTTAACCAATCCATGCTTTGCTTCTTTAAAGCGTAAGTTTATTTTATGTAAATCATTTGATCTGGTTAACTTTAGTTCTTTTATAACTGTGTTTCCACAATTATTTTTCAGAATTTTCGCGTCGGAGTATCGGGTCGCGGTTTGCGCTGCACAAATACCTCAACCTGTTCATCCAGGGCTTAGTTCTCCCCGCCGTGGACCTACGAGTGTCGAGGACGCACAATCTGAGCACGGCAAGCTTGTTGACTTCAGCCAAAGATCTGTTGTTCAGAAATACAAAAATCAGTGAATTGAATCGCGTGCTTGATCTGTCTGCGCAGCGCAGTGCTGATGATCCCACGCCCGAGATCTCGCTTGATCCGCTCGAGAGCATTGAAGGTGAGTACATTGAATCCCTATTAACATTGTTAGTTTAAATACAGTCCTAATCCCAACCCTTGTCATAACCGTAATCCGTGTGACGTTACATCTAAGTTGAATGTTTATGCCGAACATATTCAACGACATAAACATCTAAGTTGAATATGTTATAAGTTGACTATGTTCTTATGCCGAACATCATTCTAAATTTTCCGGTCAAATAGGTCGGAAGCTCAAACGTTTGTGTTCCATTCAACAATTTGACTGGTCTGACCGTGTTCATGGAAAGCGCCCTGGGCATGTGAATTATTTGACAATTCCCTCCACTAAATCATGCGTATTCCACTTCAGCGTCCAAGGTTGCAGAGACAGGTCCACAGGTGTACCAAGTGGCTATTCAGTTATCCAAAGTTGCCTCATCAAAGCTTCGTGTTAAGGTGGCTACAGGAGGCGATCCTTCATTTCCTCTCAGAGTTAATCTTCGAGGTGAACAAGTACTGGGTTTGGGTGGAGCATACCGTCATTTTATGTGGATCATGGCTCGCGAGGTGCAGAGCAGCCATCTTGGATTGTTGATTCCATGCCCTAGCGCCGCAGCTAATAGAAACAAAGTAAGAGTCTGCGTGTTGTAAAATTGTTGCGATTGATCTCTGTTCTCTACAAATTTAAAATGTTGTTATGTGTTGAACACGAATTTCTATTATTGCCTCCTAGGGAAAGTACATCCTTCGACCTGGCCCAATGACATTGTCTGAACGCCAGATTCTCGTGTTTTTTGGACAGGTAGGTTTCCTTATCTTGTGGATAATTTTTTTTATGAAGTCCCAGAAGACTAATAAAGATTTGATCAAGTTCTAAAACTACTAGGTAAACTTGAAGTTTGAATCAGATCGTCGTACAAAGAAAATAAATTCATAACTGGGAAATAAGTAAACTTGGTGTTTTTTCAGCTCCTGGGTATTGCCCTGAGGTCAGACATACCGCTGGCTTTGGATATTCTACCGTCATTTTGGAAAAGTATTCTTGGTCTTCCACTGGATGAAAGTGATCTGCACGACGCTGATATCTTAACATACAACTACATACGACGCCTTTCAGAGGTACTGTAAAGACTGGTTTTACAATATCAAAGTTTCTGTGATCACAGTAGGAATTTTACATGGGTAAATTCTAAGTTTTGAAGGATTTGTAAGAAATGTTTCAGGGAACTGTCTTGGTGTCAAACATTGAGTCAGTTCCCTCAACATTTCTTACAAATCCTTCAAAACTTAGAATTTTAACACCCATGCAAAATTCCCACTGTGATCACAGAAGCTTTGATAGTGTAGACCTGGCTTAAAACCTATATTATTAAAAGAGTAGGAAAAGCTAGTTTTTTTATGAATTATTTCTTGTATCGTCGTAATCTTCGCGTTTGTTGTTTATTTTAGATTTCTTTGAAAGAAGATTTTGAGAGGTTGTGTATGGAAGCAGATATCTCTGGAACTCGTTTTCTCTTCACATCGCTCAATGGGGAAGAGGTCCCGCTTTGTCCGCATGGAAACGATTTGCTTGTCAGGTACGAATATGCAGACTGTGTCTGATAATTTTAAGAGGCTGACAGTCCTCTAACACACGCCTCTGTGGGATGACATCATGTAAATATGGTGTGTTTGAAAATGTTTTGTTGTAATTAAGCAAACTGCATCTTGGATTACGACTAGTGTCTGTTTATGTAGTTATTGACTACAAGGTATGTTGAAATCCGACATACTTCAAAGCCACAAACCGTCGCTTTCTCATTACTTTCTCAATGTGATCAAATATTAAATGAAATATTTTGTTTGTATTATTTAGTTGGGAAAACCGTTTAGAGTACGCCAAAGCCGTGCTAGAATATCGTTTACAGGAACTCTCATGCGAAGCTCGAGTGCGTGCAATCAAGACTGGTCTTGCTACCGTTGTTCCCGTTCAGGTCCTAACCATACTGAGCCCGAGTGATCTCGAGATTCGTACGTGTGGTATACCTAATGTTGATATTGACTTTTTAAAGGTAGGAACTCTTTCATTTTACTAGTTGTGGTGAAGTTTTGAATGCTAGTTTTCTTGTTCTATTTCTTAGCCTGTTTTGTCTCTATTTAGATGCACACAACATACGTTGCTGGGATAAGACCAACTGATAGACATATCGAGTATTTCTGGAACACACTAGAAAGTTTTTCCAAGGTAAACAACGTTGAAATACTAACCTTACTCTTTGCTTTATAAGGTGTTTTGATGACAGAGTAGTTGTTGCATCTGCCTTGAGCCTTTTTACCGTCAGTGTTCATTCCTGGGGCGGTTCTTCCAAGCTGGATTAGCGCTCAGTTAACATTTAACATTGCTGTTTTGGTCGCTGTATTTCTACACATCTGTTTGTTTCAAAACTTCAGAAAAGAAAACTCTCGTTGCTCCACACAATATTTCTGAAGAAATATTTCCAAGTTTATAAACAAGTTGTTAGGAAGTTTGCTTTGAATTTTAGGTTAACCTGGGGTAACTATACAATTTATCTTAATGATTCCTGTCCACTTCTGCCAAACACGTTTTTTCCTCCATTGGAGCAGCACTAGTCCATTCATTACTTTATTCTCGTTAGGACGAGCAGCGAAAGTTTATAAAGTTTGCTTGCAACCAAGAACGTTTACCAGGGAGGTGTTCATGTCAAGATGGTTCAACAGATATCCATGTACCACCTTATCCCATGAAGATAGGACCTCCCGATGGCAGGGGTGAGTTGAACTCAACGCATTTTTTATTGATAATGATAAATAGTGAAGAGAGTGGACAAGAATGGATAACAGTTGATAAGAGTGGATAACCGTTGATAAATGTGGATAACCGTTGATAAATGTGGATAACCGTTGATAAAGGTGGTAACCGTTGATAGTAGTTGATGCGAGTGTATCACATTTGATAAAAGTTGATGAGAGCGGTACGTAAGAATTGATAAGAGTTGATAGATATTGATAAGAATGGATGAGTTGACAAAGGTGGTAAGAGTGGATAAAATGTGACAGAAGTTGATGAGAGTGGATGAAAATTGATAAGATTAGACAATAGTGAATTTTAGTGGATAAAAATTGTTGAAGATTGTTTTAATGAATGAAAGATTACAAGTTGTTTAAGAGTGTATATGTATATTCCCAGGTCCACCCGACTTGCGTTATATTCGTGTGGAGACATGTATGTTCATGGTGAAATTACCGCGATATACAACCCAGAATGTGATGCGAGAGAAATTGCTGTATGCAATCAATTGTCGCGAAGATCCTTTGACCGACTTCAGATGATGCTTTGCTGAGAACGGTTTGTTTCAATAGTTGCAAATATTTTCAAATCTACGATATTTAAAGTGAGTCATTTATTTTATTCAAATAGTATTTAAAAATGCACAGAACTTTAAAGTAAAATATTTTTGAATTGATACATTTTTATAAATAATATTTTTTAAAAGAATGTTTATATGAATATGGTTTAACTTTTGAAATGGTTTTCTCGAAACAAGAAGTGTGCATGTGTCATAACAGGGACATAGCTCAACACACGCGCAAATATTTCTCGCATTTCAAAACAATTTTAATATCTCTTCATAAAAATACTCTATAAATATTTACATATTAAAAATATCAATTGACACAATATTATTTATGCGTTGTCCGTACATATAAAATATACAACTATAATAAATATGTTGCAAAACCCAACAGAACAAGTACAAATTCAATGAATTCAAAATAGGAATGTCAACAAATGTGCAATGGCGACCCTTAACTCAACGTTTTAATAACCCCTCACAATGATACTTACGATCAGCCGTAAAGTGTTTGCAATGTGAAGTTTATTTTTACACAAACGGGATAGGAAAATTTTACTTTTGCAAATAGATAAATTTGGTTCATGCTCGTTACTTTTACCCAATTCTCAACCTTTTGACACCTCGTATGTATATAGTACTAGTATTTCAAAAGTTAAAGGAATCATTCAATATAACAAGAGTACCTAAGCTTACACCATTGTTGATTTCAAAAGTACTAACTATATAATGCGAGCTATCCTAGGTTGGGGATTGAGTATAGTAACGCGTCTAAAACAGGCGTTAAATTGTCATCTTATTAAAGCCTAGCTTCACGTCTTCATTTCACGATGTCAAATACATCAAAACACGTTTAGTATAAACACGTATGGTAGAAAACGGGATGACTACATCAGCTCGCATCACTCGCTAATGCTTGCTCGGCAATTGCTTCTAATAGAACGTCAACTTTCTCTGAATCATCGTCCGGTGCTATACTGCTCTCCTCTGGATTCTAAAGCAAGGAAAATTTGTTTTTAATTCCTGACTGATAAATTTGAGAATCTGTTTAGCTAACAGCAGGTAAAGTCTTGTCAAGACGATGACGTATTTACTCTTGGAGAGAGCAGATCTACATGTATTCCTGAATCATATGTGTGGAGTTTTGAACTTTGCTGCTACCTTGCTCCCCAAGTGATGTATACTCTGTGATGTCAGGAGATAAGGTATTCAATGTTTTCATATCTTTATAAACTAACTTTATTTATATTGGATATAGTTCCACTTCCATCATTTCTACATTTTTCTCCCTATCTATTATTGGTCCAGTGTTACTACAGGAGGATATCTGAACTGAACTAATGATTTCTACTGGAGAGCTCAATCGTGTGTAAAGAGCAGCGGTGTTTGATACTAGAAGCACTCTTCTCGGGTACAACTGCTCACTTCAGCAATGAGTTTATGCAACCTACCTCGTTTAACGCTCGGATCAGTTTCGCTGCCGTCCGCCGTAGGTTCGACAAGGTCGTCTTGCAGTCGACTTCACGTTTTTTATTTTCCACTAATTCTTTTTCTTTTTCAGCAAGTTTCTTGGACAACCCATCGTTTCTTTCAACCATCATCTACAATAACTACAACATGTAAGTGAATTGTATGCATATGTAGAGAAAGTTTTATGTATAGAGTGAACTCACCGTGTTCATGCTTTCGCTGTGAACGTCGAAAAGTTTATCCTATAAAATATACGGAGCGTTAAGTCTGGTTTGCACCATCAATTTCTTACTGATCCAGTGCTTCTACTATACTGGATAGCTCTATAGGATTATTCTTTATTGATTAGATGTTAATACAGGAGGGAAACTAAACTAACTATATTTATACTGGATAGCTCTATCAGTTCTAAACTGTTCTTCCTAGAGGTCCAGTGAGGATCATCTCTTATTGATCCAGTGTTACTACAGGAGGAAACCTAAACTAAACTAACTTTATTTATACTGGATAGCTCTATCAGTTCTAAACTGTTCTTCCTAGAGGTCCAGTAAGGATCATCTCTTATTGATCTAGTGTTACTACAGGAGGAAACCTAAACTAAACTAACTTTATTGATACTGGATAGCTCTATCAGTTCTAAACTGTTCTTCCTAGAGGTCCAGTAAGGATCATCTCTTATTGGTCCAGTGTTACTACAAGAGGAAACCTAAACTAAATTCTAAACTTTATTTACACTTAGGAATCCAGTTACTACAGAAAAATCTGCGATGTTTGATAGAGTCACGCTGGAAGCATTCTTTCTCGCAAGCGGCTGAGGTGAGATATAATCAGAGAACTGCAAGCCTTGCATACTTACCAGTTGAAAGTTCTGAAGTTCTTCTAACGACATAGTTTCCAGTTGATGTGAAGTGGTCGAAAACTCTGGTACTAATATATAAGATATACACGACCTAAACAAAATATGGGAAAAGTTTAGAATTGTATAATTTTGAATTACAGCAGTTTACTGAAACAATAGCGTGACCTCGAAGTTGACAATGTGATCCTATTGAAGTAACAGTCCAGTCACTACCACCCTCGAACCGTTGTCTCGAATGGGGAGTATCTACTACTTACCTCAACATTTTGTCCAGAGCAATCACCGTATCTTTCAGGGAGGTACCAGTGGTGGGTGACGACGTGGTGGTTGCTTCTCGACCTGTGGATGGTAGATCAGCTGTCGTGGTGCTGGTAGGAGTGGTGGATGAGGGTGAATTAACCATGGTATCTTCTGACATTGGATAGTCCTCCTAAGAATGGAGAAAATAGGTAAATATTAATATTTTAGTAATAGATATATATAGCAGGAGTTGGAAGCTGGTCAAATGAAAAAGCTTCATGTTGGGTTAAAATATTCCAAATTGTTTTCAACGTACAACGTATTTTTAAATATTAAAATAAATTGTTGACGTTTTCGTCAGATAATCTTAATTTTGAAGGACGTTTAATAAAATTTCGACGTCTCCCGTTCAGTACCCAGTTACTTCGAGCAAAACATCGACAGTTTATTGAAGAATACTATGTACATTATATATTCACTTACCGTTAACAGTTTTAGGTCTTTGTGTGTTTCATCGTACCTATTCAAGGGAAACATTAGGTCACTTTTGATGACAAGTTCAATGCAATGAATATACTACAGCTACTATATGTCTTACCATTTTGATGACAAGTTCAATGCAATGAATATACTACTACTGCTATATGTCTTATCATTTTGATGACAAGTTCAATGCAATGAATATACTACAGCTACTATATGTCTTACCATTTTGATGACAAGTTCAATGCAATGAATATACTACTACTGCTATATGTCTTACCATTTTGATGACAAGTTCAATGCAGTGAATATACTACTACTGCTATATGTCTTACCATTTTGATGACAAGTTCAATGCAGTGAATCTACTACTACTGCTATATGTCTTACCATTTTGATGACAAGTTCAATACAATGAATATACTACTGCTGCTATATGTCTTACCATTTTGATGACAAATTCAATGCAATGAATCTACTGCTATATGTCTTACCATTTTGATGACAAGTTCAATGCAATGAATCTACTACTACTGCTATATGTCTTACCATTTTGATGACAAGTTCAATGCAATGAATATACTGCTGCTGCTATATGTCTTACCATTTTGATGACAAGTTCAATGCAATGAATATACTGCTGCTATATGTCTTACCATTTGTCGTATTTGTCTTTCTGGTAATTGTCGAATTTCACCTTCACTTTCGCTGGAGCATTTTTGCGATGTTTCACGGCGACAACTTTGCCCAAATACCTAGGAAGAAACAACGTACATGCATTGTTTAATATAGTCCGGTTTTGTGAGCATCATTCTCAACTTGTGATAGTTAAGCCCCGTTTACACGAGCAAATTTCATTTGATCAAAAGCTAGCATGCTAGCTTTTGTTCAAATGCATTTGTCACAAATGCATTTGTCACAAATGCATTTGTCACAAATTTATCATCTACACGAGCAAAATATTAACAAATTTTAAGGGCACATACCATCTCGGAGTTACAAACACCTCGACCACAATACCTTTCTTGTCTGAAATAGAAAATGTGCGAAAGATTGTTACTTTGGAACAAAACGAGTTAAGATAAATTATATATGCCTTATATGAGAACGAGGTCTCGTGTTCAACTGTACTTACATTTGGAAAGTTTAGATTGAGCATTAGCATCATCACTCTGAGCATTATCGCTGTTGTCAGATTGATACTCCTCGGGTTCTTGGACATCCTATATAGATAAGAAATTCTTATAATTTTATTCAGAAAACGTTGTTGAATCTAGCCCTCACTGGAGAAATAGCGACGAGTACATTTGACTTTACAATAGTTGTGAAGTGTGGTGTACCTGAGATGAACTGACTTCGTTTCTCTTTCGTTTAGGTTGAACCTCGCAGATCTGAAAACACGTCACAATAAATAATGGATTATGTGCTTTGTAAGGTAATATAGCCTTGTGGTTTATACGAAGGCCGGAGATAGCGCTACCCAGCGGATAGTGATTTTTTACCCTTTGTAAAAATGCTTGAAAATGACTAAATTTTAATCTTGGTTATATCAATCAACGACCAATTTATCAAAGCTTGAAAAATATCACTATCTAGATATCTTGCCCAATTTCGCTATACGATTACACGATATGACTATAGTCGTTATACGATTGTCATTCTGGTGTATGAAAATGACTGCTGACGCCACTATTCCTGTTCATCAGCTCGTGGCGAAATTTGAAAGGTGACATTTTTACACGCTTTTATTCGAGTAGATACGCCAGGATAAGAATCGTCCTAGGGCCTTAAACTTTCTTGACTGTATTTATTTACTGTAATAACAACTAACAACGTACCTCTTTTTCTGCCGTAGGATGTTCTCGTTTGTTCGAGCCAGTCACTGATGATCTGTTGGTGGCAATAGTTCCAGCTGACGTCTGTCTCGCTATCGGTGTCTTCATGAAAACAAGGTAACAATTACTACAATATGTTGTTGGATACTCCAACCTAGAAATACTTTATCTGTCGAGAAAGATATGGCATACTAGGCCAAGTCCATTATACTTACCAATTTAGCTGTGGGTTTCCCGGTTGCTTTGGTAGGCGCGGAAATCGCTCGCACAGGCTGTTTGGGGGTGGGTAGCGTCGGCTGTTTCGCCGGAGGGGTTCGTTTCTGTGCTGGTTGAGAGGTTTGTTTCGGCGCTGCCTTGGCGGTAAACCTCTGTGTCACTTGAAGAGTTGATCTGGTGGTTGTCTGAGGGGTAGACCTTGCTGTTGGTTGATGTGCAATTCTTTGAGGTGTGGTTCTAGGTTGGGTGATAATTGTTGGCTTAGGTATAATGGGTTTAGGCACGGTAGCGCTTCTGGGTGGTACCTTAAAGTAAGTGAGACGAACATGAGAAAACGAAATTCGGATTTTCAGGGTTAGAACGAAGGAAAGTTGAAATGCCTAAAAATTTATAATAAGTTCCCTAAATAGTACCTGAAGTACAAGTTTAGCTGGTTCTGCTGTCACATTCCGTTTTGGTGGAACCTGGGTATGAGAAAGAGATAATAAGTCGTGGTCACGGATGTAAAATAGCCTGGATCGACATTATTTTATCCATTGTGTGCTGTATGCAAATCTGTATTTTGGTTTGAGATTTAACAATGGCTTCTTACTTCAAGCTGATTGAGTTTCTCTTGTTTTTTCTTGATGTCTTCTATTAAATCTCGTTGTTTTTCTTCAGCCGTCTTGGTTTGTTTCTGAAGACTTCCAATTGGCGGGGTGAACTTCTGTTCCGGTGCGGAACACCTACAACGAGACAATGCCACATGAGCAAGTACTTGGAAGTAAATCAAATGTTGATGCATTGGACAGCAAAAGCTATATATATCAATTGTGAACGGAAGGATGTCATTAGTTCCACTCTAGTGGTCAGGAAACAAAGAAATAAGCTATGCTACGATTGAAGTAGAAAATGGCGTTCACAATAATACCTGGAGGATTTAATCTTATGCTAAGATTTTCCTTATACAACATTTACTCTCAAAACAAACAAGTGAATACCATCAAGCCACAAACAAAAAACTAACTTGTTTCGTTCAGGGTCATTGCTTGATGAGCACGTCCATGTATCCTCAAATGTTCGTCCAATATTCTTCGCCGAAAACGGTAGCGTTCTCCATTTCAGACAATTGGCTGCGATAGAAAATTGTTTTAATTAACTGGAGGAAAAGTGAACAATCCATTGTTAGGTTGCAGTCAGGGACGCGGCAGATGGTCGTCGACTTCAAACCTGCCGACACTTGTTGTAGAAGCAAATTAATTTACATCTCTTCGGTCGCGTCAGAGCAGGCGCCTTTCATCTCTGAGTTCGAGTCTTGCTGCAGACTTGTGTGAAAAGAGTCATGCACTCCAGTCTCCTAAACAGGGAATGTAGATGGGCAGGGTTGGGATTATCCTCCTCCCGGAGGCGCCATTAGAAAGCCTTCGACTTGATCACTCGTCTGACTGAGCTGAGTCCTTTGCAATTCAGCTTAGCTCTCAGCTGCAAGTAAGGATGATTGGCACACACGCATTTACTCTCTTACACTTCCTTTACTTTGTCACTCAGGTTGACCACCATGTGAAATTTTTCACCATGTGAAACCCATCTAACCATTTCTACAGATACTTACCACATTGTACCGTACACGGCAACTGCATGGCTCGTTTCCTTAGGTATTTCGGTTCGTCCGATGGTTCCTCCTCCACGTCGTTAGAGATGTAACCAAACTGGTCCCAGAAATTACCAACACTGTTTTCTAAAGTATAAGAAAATATTAATTTTTATAAAGTTTTATTGATTTAACTACTTTTCGATCCGTAAATCTTCATCAAACAATGTACTGTAGTGAAAATATTCATTTGCTCTGACTATGATTTGGATTTCAAAGTCAAGACGACTTTCCATAGTCTCATTATTTGCATCAAAGCCCAAAGGAGTGCAATGACTAACAGTAGAGTCCACACGGTTGAAGAGAAAATACATTGAAATTAATACAGTTTCTGTTACGTAGCACAGGACTGGGATATTATATGAAATGTTTGTTTTTCTCTCCGGCAGATGGCGCCGGTGGCTGCGTATCCAAGGAGAGCAACGTATACAAAGAAAGATCGCCGCCAATGACTTACCGGTAAGCGCGTTATCTTTCCAATACTGCGTGAGATGTTCACCCATTGAACGAAGTAGATGTTTGTATTCCTAAATCATAGAAGGAACTTTATATCTCAAATTTAACTACACTTCTCCTTCGACATCTGTCGTTGATATTGCCAAACCGACCTCACAAAGGAGACGATTATTTTCATAGACAGCTGCAGATTGTGAGAGGGATCATGCAACTAATTGAAAAATACGAGCAGCGACGTTTCAAGCGAACTAGCAGGCTACCAATAGACACTCGCATGTTAGATTAATTTTTGATCTAGGCAAAAAAGTACATTCTCGTAAAAAACTTGTTAAAATTAGTAAAATTGCAAAATTTGGTTAAGAAATGTTGTAAAATATGGAAAATATAGCCTTGCGAAGTTTGCATATTTTGTATATGTTTGTATTACGTGCGGAAATTGTTACCATTTTTGAGCCGAAGATGTGGTAAGAATTTCCGCACGTAATACAAACATATACAAAATTTGCAAATTTTGCAAGCTTTACAACCATTTTGCAACGAAACTTTGCAATTTTATTAATTTCATTATGTTCTTTTTAGCAGTCATGTTCGATTCTCCTCTCTTACAAATTAGCCATTCCGAAGTTGATGAGTGGACTGGGGACGAGTGTTAAAAAGTGCCCAAATTAAGAAATGAACCAAATCACTAAAAAGACCACCTCAAAATTAGTAAGTATACAAAGTTTGAAGACGTTTATATGAATACCCTTAGAATAATAGGCTTTCGAAAATTGTGAAATTACTGATTAAAAGATTGTTTTTGCGCGTCCCCAAAAACAAGAAATTACAATACATTTCATAGTAAATATCGCGATTTTCGAAAGCTTGTTATTCGAAGGGTATTCATGTAAACGTCTTCAAACTTTGTATACTTACTAATTTTGAGGTGGTCCTTTTAGTGATTTGGTTCATTTCTTAATTTGGGCACTTTTTAACACTCGTCCCCAGTCCTCCCATCAACTTCGGATTAATGGCTAATTGTCCATTTCCGACGAAGCGCCTTCACTCGCATTTCTGTTTATATTTCCAGGTAGTTGTATCCCTCTCAATCCACAGATGTCTTGTTCTCGTCACTACCTGCACGCCAACACACCGTATTTTCATACCTTGGCGTCTGCAAAGTCTTGTTTATTGTGAGTTGGTTCCAACACGAGATACGGTACGTCCACAAAACCAACTATTCCAGCATAAGCTCTAAATAATTAAGAAACAAATATTGTAAACTGTCCTACATGAACCTATATAGCTGCGTTCTTTATTTCCAAAACTACTGAAGAATCAAATATTGTAAGCTGTACTACATGAACCTATATAGCTGCGTGCTTTATTTCCAAAACCACAATCCAACGAACCTTTTGCCATCAGATTGAAATCCTGACTTCTCGTACATTTTGATCAACCTATAATAAGATTTTGTTGATTGTGTGAAAACGAGAATTGAAACAAGATCAGCCAAACGGTATTTCCAAACAAACCTGTTGCAATTATAGACGAACAAGCCGTACGAATGTCGTCGGTTGATGTTAAAACCAAACGTAAACGTCAATGTCTTGGGTTCTTTTAGAGATCTAGAAACAACGGAACTCGAATAAGATTGAAACACGAGGATCGCACGTGCGAACACGCTGCCTTTATGGTAGCATGGTTAGACGATGGCGCCGTTGAATGTCACTTCTCTTACTTTTGTTTCGTTGTAGCAATTTGATTCTTCAGATCAGCTTCTGTTCTGGCTTTCAATGCGCTGTCTTGAGCTTGCCGTATTCTTGCCTAAAATAAAAACATCATTGGGACTTAAATTTCAACATTTCCACAAACAAAAAACCCGCAGGTATAATCCTGATTATTCGTGTGATATCAAAAGCAATTTTAATATTTTACTCCCTACTCTAGATTCCTTGGATATACTCTGGTCTTCTTGTTGCACTTCCCTAAACAAAACACGAAAACTGTCAATAACACATGTCGTACAAACAATGGACAGAATGAAAAATGTAATTACTTTGCGATCGTTTCCAGCTCTATCGCCTTGTCGCCAGCTAAAAGGTACAATGAAACAAATGAAGTTAGTAATATGCAGAAACCCCATGCATGATATTCACTAACACGCTCACCGGATTTTGCGTCTACCATGGCCTTATTTGCCTCGCGTTCTGATCGAGTTTTAAATCTTTTCGACGTAAAGAAATAACTCCTGCAAGAAAAGAGAACATTCGTGTAATAACACCATTCTTTACGTGTTAGGTTTAATCCATTAAAGCCTTTTTGGCGTATTAGGGTTTATCAGTGATAAACCAAAATCACCAGCAGTTTCGCTCAATGGGTAGAGCAATAGGGTGAATCAGCCTTCTTACTTGGGTCTGTATAAGTTGTCTCCCAATCGTTTTGTAAGCACTTTCTTCCCCTGAAATGTATTTTGATTGATTTGTCATCTCGTGTGATAAAAAACACTATTTGATTTACTTCTCAATCGACGATAGAAAATGAATTGTTACCTGAATGTACATCTTCATTCTTGGGTCCAAATACAAAATGGCGCTGTAGGCACGAAACGATTTTCGTTCCGGCATAACACTAGTAAAAATATCAAAAACTAAATTCAACTATCTTTAGCAGCTATACGCCAGTTCTGGACAGTTCTAAGCAGTTCTCCCCAGAGGTCCAGTAAGGCGATTTCTTTTTTTTCTATCAGTTCATTCCCTAAAAAATATCCGTTACCTTTTATCATCAACATGTTCCTCGTACAACTCTCGCATGACGATGTCATCATCAGATGGCTGGAGAAAAAATACATGAAAATTGAACGATGTTTTATTCACTAAACTTTCAAAGAGTCAAAGGCGTGGTCATAATACTCTATACAGTACCTCGAGTTCAGTTTCGCCTGAATCCAAGAGTTTCATATTGAAGACCATGACTAAAGTTCCTGGTTTTAAGAGATAAGCAATAGAGAAAGTTCAGTTGCCGAATGGTAAATATTGATGATGGTAATAACGACCGTTTATACCTTTAGTTTTGATTTTGTCAAAATATTCAAATAGTTCAGTTTCGGATTTAAAAGGCGAGTATTTCAGGATAATCTGGAGTTCAACTTGATGCTGCAAAAATGTAAACACTTGATGGGTATACTGCATTCGTCGGTACACGAAACTAACTTTATGTTATACCACGCTTCCCTTACTCGTTGTGAGGACAGGAGAAAAGCTAAATTCAAGTAACTTCATATGGATATTTCTATCAATTCTAAACTGTTCTAACTTTATATGAATATTTCAATCAGTTCTAAACTGTTCTCAACTTTCTATGAATATTTCTATCAGTTCTAAACTGTTCTCAACTTTCTATGAATATTTCTATCAGTTCTAAACCGGTCTTTCTGGAGGTCCAGTAACGGCCACGCTTCCCTTACTCGTTGTGAGGACAGGAGAAAAACTAAATTCAAGTAACTTTATATGAATATTTCTATCAGTTCTAAACTGTTCTAACTTTATATGAATATTTCTATCAGTTCTAAACTGTTCTCAACTTTCTATGAATATTTCTATCAGTTCTAAACTGTTCTCAACTTTATATGAATATTTCTATCAGTTCTAAACTGTACAGAGGTTCATTAAGGTCGTTCCTGTTTTAGCCTCTAGGAAGATTCTTCAAATTTCGATTGTACCTTTTCTAGCTCTCGTTTTGACCTGCCGAGCGGTTTCTTTGTCGCCACATCCCAGGAAGGAATTGGAACTACCACCTACAGAAGAACATGGTTGTATTTGAAAGACTCCACCTCGTACAATAAAGAAAATTTATTTTGATATCGTATCATCCATATTTGATCTCTCTTCTTGAAGGTTTCACTTACTTCGTTAATTCCCTCTCGTTCGTGAAACGTGCGAGACAAGAACAGACAGCTCATCGTTCCATGCCTGGGAGAAAGTTTCCAAGAAAAATAATTACATCGGTGGAGTCTTCAATAAAACATGGCACATTAAAAACTACGTTCAAAAGATTCTTTTTTTACAAAATCAAAATGGCTTGATGGTTGTATATTGAAAGTGTAACAAGAGGTGTGCTTAAAGAGGAAATGTTAAGAATGAGAAGATCTGATCGTCCAACATTTGATGAGACACTCAGGAAAGTAAGTCAAGAAACAACAGTAGAAATGACAATGTAAAGACGCCGAAGGTATTTACTCCACCATTTTTTTTAACGGAAACACCCTTTCCTGGTTTTCACATTTGTTAAGTTTGCAACTTACTTTTTTGTAAACAAGATCATATCTTTGCCAATACGCATTGAACCACTGTAACAAGAGAACGTTGTGTTAAATTTCTTCCTTTTTAAAAACTTCTTGATTTCTTCCTGTTTAGATCCTGTACTTACGATTTAAGACCATTGCCGTATTGTCCGATCATTTTGGAATCCATCACACGTTTCGTGGAGCGACCGAACTGTATTACGTTCGATACTTCAGCTACAAAATAACATTTCACCTAACATTACAAATTTGTAGATCACCTAATTTGACGGATTTTTATGTACTATCTGCATTCGGCTCGAGTTTGTATATCCGATACAACATGGCCGCTGATGTTGTATATTTGGCTTGTAAAACGTCTTGATGAGAATATTCGTATTCTTCAACAATTTAAAATAAATGAATGATATTTGGTGAGAAAATTGAACTTAAAAGTTTATGTAAATCGGCATGATTTTGTATCAGATATACAAACTCCTTCACGGTTATGCTTTCTTTTGTGTTTCTACACTAAGGAGTTTCACAAATGTACTTCAAAAACGTTAAACCCGTTACTATTCTACACTTGGCTAAAAAATCATAGTTTATCTAATAATAGTGTATAGGTGTATATTATGCCTACTTTACCAATACAATAACTTTACATAAGTTGTTATGTTTACTTGTACTTCACGGAAAATACCAAAAGGAATATAGAATGTAACAATGCATGTATTCACGTACTTGGATCCATGCCTTCTCCATCGTCACAAAAGCACAGCAGATATTTGCCGAAGACGTTATTACTGGCAACTGTAAGAAACAAAAATCCAACGTTATCTCGTCAGTTAGAATCAACTTTGCATGCATGGCTAGACTCAAGAGCAGAGTGTATCAATTTCCAAGACAGGTTGGGTGACTTGGGTCCTTCAAAACAAAATGGAATTTATTGTAAAGACTAAAGATTGACGAGATTCCAAAAATTGTCTGGCCTGAAGTGAATGATCTCGACTTCTGGCGTTCAATACAAATAATATCCATTGAGCGCAATAATGGCGTTGCCTTCTCTAAGACTTGGTGATTGTAAGTAGTTGACATTACTGGCTGTCGGAATGTGAAGTCGGGATTTGAATATAACCGATGGTAAGGTGCTGTCGTTTACCGTTGGTTCATCCTTTCGGAGCGTTCTTCCTGGTCAATTGCGTTAATTTCGTGTACGTTTGCCTTCACATTTCATGCTGTGTAAACTTTTCTTACATGTCTCTTTTAATGTCGTTCGCCATTTCTCTTGGGAATCACAAAATAACTCATCAAACGCTCGCTTCACCCTCCTATCAAGTTTGCACCACAATTGGACAACATATAGAGAAAGTGTGGCTTCTTTTTGTATTTGAACACAGACTGGTTTTCTTGCCAAACGGTTTTTAGCGTCGCCAAACAGTATAGACGCGTCTATATAGAGTTCGTCTGCACTTTACGAAAGAAATAAAACAGACTTATTTCACGAAGCTACGACCAAGCCATCACACAAAAACGAAACTTTGCGGTCTCCATCATTATCTTCATTTCGATGATGCATTTCTTTTCCCTTCGCGTTTTCTTGAAATGTTGCAGTTGGTCTCCTTCAATTGCTGTGTGCGAGCGGTTTGTAATAGTTGAAATAAACATTTAGACAGAATTTCGTACAGTAGGCTGGCCAAATATACCATTGGTTTCAAAATTTATGTGGCTAGAACACTTGTATTTTGTTTTTCCGTTCTTTGTTCAACGACTTTATCTTGTTATTGGAAATACCTTTGCGCTGGATGTCAGGACGTTCGTGTTGCATATTTAGGTGTTGTAGTGTTTGCAGGACTTTTTTGAATAGCCAAGTTTACCAATATTTTAAATTGTCTTATTTTTCATTGGCAATACTCTGCGAATTTACGGGTTTTGCTCGAAAAGTTATAAATTGGACGAGTAATTTGTTTCATTTCGATATACATTCACGGTGTAGTTGTCTTCTCTCATCAACTTTAAAAACTTGACAGTTCTGAAATGTTTTGGGCGGGAAACTCATTTTCCGTATAAGGAACTAAAAGCAGGTCTTTGTATTCTTATTCAAAAAGCGATATACAGTTTCACATTGCAGGTTTTTAAATTTTTTCCCTTGTTGTCTGATATTCAAACGGCAATATATTTGAAATCCTGTAATTTCAAATTTCCGAACTGGCTCTGTATTTGCAGAACCGTAATTTCCAAAGTACAAACTAATCTATATATAATATAGTATAGTATATAATTCAAGTATATAATTTACAAAGAAAACTTACTATTAAGTATTCAACTTTCAACTTAGCATCATACCTGCAAACACTGGTTCGTCTGTAGAGCCTATCCTGTCTTACCGTTTTTTTCTTTACATTCATTCTACACAAGGCTCTGTCACATTCACTCAACGAAACCACTTCTTTGACAGATAAAAGAATTAAATGTTTTCCATACAGCCACTACAAACGCATCTTGAGTAAGCCATCTTGACACAACCATTTCTCAATGCAAAACATTGAGCAAAACATCGCATTTAATCGATCCTTTTTGTCGCCATTTTCTTGTATTTGTATTGATTTAAATCTTAGAGCATTTCCTTCTCAGTTTCTGGGTTAATCACGTTTTAGTTCATATAACTTCTTGAATATTTTGTATCATCACAAGTTGGTCATCTCTGAATTCGCCTCAGCATGTTCTAGATTCTCAAACAATTGGAAATTGCATGTTTTGTCTAGTGCTACTACATTTTCTAACCAATTTTCGGTTTATTTGGCAATATGAGACATCTGGCAATCAATATCTGCCAGATAATAGACGTTTGAAGGTTTTAAATACTCAGAAACTCGTCATTTTAACACTTGTAGTTTTTGTCTGCATGTGACAGGCTCTCTGTATGACCATGGGTATGGGGAGTTACAAATTATTATTAATTCCCATGGTATGACTTGGGTTCTGTCTTATGAACATATATTCTGTGATAATCCAAGGTGAATCAATCTCTCTTCAGCACACTTATTCTTTGTCATCTGATTATAGATCTTGTCAAAGGTTGATCAATTTCACACCATCTAAGACCACACATATTCTGTTTCCATGAATTTTTGGGACCATATATAATTCCTCTTGACAACTGTTCAATTCTGCTACTGTACTTTAAGACTGACATGATTTTTCATCAAGGAATAATGGGCCATCCTTTAATTTAATTAATTGCCACATTCAAAACTGCTTCTGTTCCAAACTTGCTCATAAATGCAGGAAAACAACATCATTTGCCAGCTTTATTGTCAACATATAAAATTGGTTATTTTTCTGTGACAGTTGATTTAATGAATGTGCAAAATGATGTTAACCAGTGGTCCATACAGGCTCTATCATGACACTTATCAAAACTTGTAGTAATCATTATGGCTGTGTTTCTGTGGAGAATATTGTGTGCTTGGTTTCATTATAAGGCTAAATAAAATATGCTACTACAATTCTCTTCAACATCAACTTTCTGACCTCTTTATCACTGGATACCTTCCTTGCTCAATGTAGACCATTATATTTACTTCCCTAGGCCAGTTTCATAATTTGCTGAAACACCAAAGATTCATCTTGATGACTGCTATTATAGACTCCACCATAGTTTTGATGTGATGTTTAAGGATTATTCTAGATTCTAATTGAGGAATGGCACTTTCTGAAGAATCATCACTGTGTTTCCTCTGTCTTGCTTTCACTATTTGCAATCGATACCTCTGTATTTCATTGATATCTTGGTTTAAACTTTAGAATGGTTTGGACCAATAATGGACAACAGGAAATGAAAGCAAATTATTTGTGCCACACTGCCCATCACTTCTTTCATTCAATGAAAATATAAATTGCTCCACAGGGCAATTGTGATGATTAATACTGACGTGTGCAACTTTTGCCTTAGTTGAATGCTTCGGACCAATATTCTCAACAGGAAATGAAACTAAATCCCATATGCCAATCCTATCAAACTCTGGCACTGTTATTCTCGACCAATTTTCATTTCACACTAATTGCAGGCCCACCACAGCATTTGCGATCACTCCAGAAGGCAATTCAGATCTATTTAACTTTGATTGCCTGATCCCAGATAGATTGATTCACAAGATTGTTGAGCAGCCACTATTCAAATAATATTGAATAGACTCTTTCTTTTGACCAAAACTGGCACCCAACTGGTATTTCTGGATCTTGTGACTTGAGATATGCAAAGAATGTATAACATGTTGCACAATAGCTTCTATCATCACTAATTCCCCTTCCAAATGCTGCTCTTTATCGAGTGGATATAGCAAACATTGCTAAAAGCAATCAAAGAGAATAGATGAATATTTTGAATCAAAATAACAACATCCACTAACCTGTAAAGATCTCCATTTTCGTGGCTCCTGCATCCCTGTTGGAGAGAAAATGTCACAATGAATATGTCAGTTGCTATTTTTACAAATTCAATTAATATCTACATGGAAATATCTACATAGATATTAAAATTACTTCACAGTATTGATACACATACTTAAAATGTCTAGAAAACCACAGTTACTTTTCAGTAACGAGTTTTATTATAAATACATCCGAGAATGCATCCCCACCGGTAGTCAATTAAAATGTGCTTTGCTAAGCAAATTCCAATACCACAGAATAGCGTTCATCTGGAATTATTTTCCCAATAATTCTAACACAAGAAAAGCATTTTTACAGGGAATACAATACATAATAACTAACAGCAGCTGTCTTAACTTGAAACACTCACAAGTGCTGACTCTCGCGTGTTAGCATATTGAATGCACTTTTGATCGCTGGCAAGCTGGGAAGACACGCAATTGTTCAAACGCGCTGAATAGCGTGAAGAAGCTATACTATACCGTCCGTTATCCACCAATTCAGCCAAAGCTCCAAATAAGAATTCATGAGTTGTACTGAAACGTGAGCAATATACAGTATTAAAGACGTCGTTATAAAGTTTCTTGTTTGCCGCAACGCGCAACAACAAAGTCACAGACGCCGGTTGTGTTCTTGCCGCTGTGTGAATTGAAGTGTCTCATTTCAACTTGAATATTTCAACCTTTTGACAAGGCTAAATTAACAAACCTTCACCAATTTGCTTTTAACTAAAAATTAATGCATGTAGGCGGTATTTAAGCACGAAATTATGTTTCAAACGGCTAAATTTTCTAGTCCAAATCGCTAGTGTATATTTTCTTGACGTTGGAATGTTTGTTATTGTATGAAACATTCTTCTTATATGCGACACCTCGAAACTCAAAAGCAAAGTGTTCATAGTTTCATGAGTTTTGGCCGGATGAAATAGTGCATTTCTATAATCAAACACAAATTATGTTCAGGATATTGTTCTGTTAGCGTAACGGGACGAAAGGAAATGTTATTAAACGTTTAAATGTTTATTCACGCGACTATGTCTTGATGAATGATGAAGCATTTCTTCGCTCGAATTTAAATACCATACTCTGACCATTTCTCTTCAGAAAATCCAAATGACCAACAATTATTGTCCTGGAATACGTACAACTATACCAAATCTTGCAATGACGTGTTTTTAGCCACAGGAAAAACTATTATAACAGCCCTCAATAGCTCAGCGCAAAGACAGCTCGTCTCCACAACAAAACACATGGCCAAGTATATCCGATACTTTTTTCGCAAGAATTCAAGCCACAAAGCGACGTAAAAGCTCTCAAAACGGCCACAACTTACCTGTTTGTGTGAAGATATTCGACGGTTAACTGTGCTCGGCTAAGACTTGAATACGAAGTAGAATGTTGAGCCATTTACTTTGACAGTCTGCAAGCGAAGGTGAGGTATATATAAATAAACTCGTGAGTCATGCATGTCTGACAGTCGTCACTTTGTCTTTGTGTCTTCAAAATTCACAGCAAAACGTCTCCTTTTCTCCAACGGAAAAGACCTTAAGGCCTTGCCTATAAAGCCTTCTACTTACCTTGTATTCAATATAAGAATGGAGAAAGTTGAACAAAATTCGGTGTCGGCAAATGAATATCCTTCCCGCCAAACTAGCTTGACATTCTGCAATGGCGCAATGCCCACAATGTCGAGAGCAGTCATGCGGCTTGACCATATATGGATGTGCAGCATGCATTGCGGGTAGACGCGAATTCTCATTGGTCGAGACACGCACGTGTTTAATTAGCGAAATATACTTCCGGTAAAATTATGACCTAACGCATGACTCCGATATGTTGCGCAAAATTTGATAATAGGGGACCGAGAACCTTAGAGAAATTTCCATTTCAGCGTATCGATGGCAATCACTGATGACAATCTATAAAGACATTAAATACATGCCCTTTTATGGCAGGTTTGCCTCCAGCTTGAAATTCAAAATGTTGGTATTCATTCGAAATCCTAGATAGCAATCTTACAATAATAGTCCATTGTAGTTCATTCCCCATTTGATTTAAAGAATAAGACGGCAAGTTAAATTGTCGAAAACCCAATACCAGCCGACAATTTTAAAAGGTATGACAAACACAATCAGAGTAGCATCTTGAAACTCATAATATGAATAAAAGGAAGAAGATTTAATCGAATGAAGATAAAATGGAAATATCACAAACTTATTCTCGTCTTGAGTTTTACGTTTCAAGATGCGAATCTTCGGATTGAGTTTTGTCTTATAAATAGTCGACGTTTCGCACTTTTGCCGTTTTGAGCAAAAATATTTATCACAGTGTAAGTTAAAACCAGATGAAACGAGGACTAGAGTCCTGATAACCTATGAGAGTTGACAGTCATGCGATCTTTGGTTAGCTGTTCATAATGCTTTCCCAACATTATCATGTATTTTATTGAAGTTGAAACATAGTTGGAATATTCATCAAACATTTATTTTGTTAATCTAGAGCTTGAAATGTCCCCTGTAACAATGCGTGACTGTCAACTCTCACAAGGTGAACAATTGTAAACTTATTCCGTGGAATTCCGTGGAAAGGTCGAGCGTGTTCCGGATTATAAATACACCAGATTAACCACGCATTGACGCAACACAGATAACGAATTAACCATACTTCCTGTGCGGTAATCTGCGCAGGCATAGACACGCATGTTATTACAAATCATAGGCAACAGACCATACGCATCAACATTAAATACATCGCGCTTTTCACGGATCTATTTTGGGATGTCATGGGTTTTGAATTCTACACCTTTATAAACAGGAAACGAATCTAAACCGATAATTATAAGACGTATCTGAGCCGCATCAATCAACAATTTGCCCATCCCAACAAAATAGCAAAATGAAGTAATAAATATCATATTTTATGAGACGGAAACTTTACGCGGTTACGCGCACTTAGACCACTTAACTTACGCCACCCCCTCCCCGGCCTTACCCACTTTTCCCAGGTTTGAAAGCATTACAAAATTAGTCCTGAAGAAAAGTGTGGGTTCCCCCCCCCCCCCCACCCTTTCTGTGGGCTAGGCTTCTGGTGGCGACGGACCATGAAAAGCTAATAATTATGCACTAGTAATTTATTCATTTTTAATTAATTAATAGACACTTCCCGAATTTGCTTGAGTGCACACGAAAGCTATTGTTTCGTGTGCACTCAAGCAAATTCGGGAAGTGTCTATTAAATTTTAATAATTTTAATTTAATTTTAAATAATCGAGTTCTTTGTCCAGCGGAGTGCCAACAAAAACAAATATGGCGGAAGGTAAGTGTATTTTGAAATTTTTGTGTTAAATTTTCATTTCTTGTCATTTCAAATGCTCTTTTATTAAAAACTAGATACCTTTCGTCGTCTGCTTGTTGTTGTCTGTGATCTTAGCCCGATTTGGTGGGGAAAACAGGCTGCAAATGCGTCAGAAAATTCAGATAAGGTACAAATTTATAGACTTCAGAGAGACAGCAGTCAGGAGCAGCAGTACAGTGCATATAAAATAATTTGATATTATAATTAACAGGCAATTTTTCAAGCTTTTTGGTGTGGGTACACTCAGAGTAACCGTAAAAAAACCTATAAAAAGTGTGAGCAATATGAAATGCTTTATAGCAATATGAAATGCTGACAGCCAATCACAGCCTGACATAGTTTATAGCATGAAATGTTTATAGCAATATGAATATTTTATATAGCAAAGTTTATATTTATAACAATATTTAATAGCGATGTGAGAATAGCAATGTGTCTATCTGCGGCTGTTCCTGGGATGCAAATTATGCTAGGAAAGTTTGCTGATATTTGCTGATGTTTTTTAGATGCAACCAATCAATGCATTTCTCAACAATGTGTTGGTATTCTGCAATGCTCACCTCATGATGAAACATACTAATGAACTTGCAATAGTTTGTGCAACCTCGTCTAAAAGGTAATTTGAGATATCTTTCTCAGATAGTTCAGACACAAACCATGATGTCCAGCTTATTGTACAATACTACCTACACTGAACCAAGACACAAACCACGACAGCTTATTGACTTGATAATGTTAACAGATGAAATATTTTTAATTATTACTTAATTATAAAGTGGCAACATCATATATTAAGAAGATAATAATTTTTTAATTTCCAGTCAGTTTATCTATCCATGTCCAGAGGATGTGAGCGATGCAAACGGAGAAGAAAGCTACGGAAACATGGATGGAAAATATGAACATTTTGCTACAATGAACAATGTTGTTGTTGATAAGGTCAAAAATATAATTGAGGAAGAAAGTGCTGATGGTATGGAGTAACTTTCAGTTAAATATAAAGTGCATTGAGAAAAGTATAAGCATAGTTAACCCATTGAGACCGTAGTTAACCCATTGAGACCATAGTTAACCCATTGAGACCATAGTTAACCCATTGAGACCATAGTTAACCCATTGAGTGGTAGCACCCTCCCCTGACAAGTAAAATCTTCTGGCATTAGACAGAGTAAAATAATAAAGTAGGGTGCATCTGGGCACATTGCCAATTAAAGGGTTAACAGGGTGCATGGCCAGATAGTCTGATTAACCCATTGAGTGGCAGCACTTTCCTCCTGATGAGTAAAATTATTTGGCATTAGACAGAGTAAAATAATAAAATAGCATGCATCTGGGCACATTGCCACTTAATCCAATTAACTTCCATTGTGCCCTAAGGTGCTCTACTTTATTATTTTATAGCAGATTATTTTACTCTGTCTAATGCTAGATGATTTTACTCATCAAGAGGACGATACTCAATGGGTTAATGATTTTAAAATTATTATTTTAGATGTAAATTTACCAGAGAATTCTGCCACACTGTTAGCTGGAGCTCTGTCTATGACACTATGCTGTATCCTTGTCATCTAATTTCTTAGTTATAAAGGAACCAAGTCTTGAGACTGCTTTAACTTTGCTGTAATAAGCTTCAGCATACTAGTTATTAGTCTGCGATTCCGAGCGCAGGAAATGACGTCTGGGTTTGCAGAGTAACTAGTTATAGCATGATTGTATTTTATGTGCAAGTTTGATTGAAGGATCTTACTTCCTGAAAAATATGAAAACAACTTCAACAACATTTATTAATTATTTTGAGCGAAGTCCCAACACTTGTGTGTGCTAGTGTAATTTTAATTAACTGTGAATCAGACATCAGACAAGCTGAACGAAACTGCCCAGGTACGTACCGCTGAATTATTATGTAAGTTATACCAAGAATCTCCATTCTCTTTCTAAAAAATTACAGGCAACAAGATTTTTGTATTTCATATTATTTAATCTTTTCTATATTAATTTGATTTAGTTGGACAAAGTATGAAAGCGCGGATACTAGTAAGATAAATGTTTTGAAATATTTCTTACATATGCAATTATTACAATATCCTGTTGAGTGTCAGCATGCACTCACCCTTGATGAATAAAATCATCTGGCATTAGAGTAGGGCTATCTATTATTTCTATGAGTAGGGTGCATTGCTACAGGATATGCAATTTTCTGATACTACAGTCAGTACAAAGTACAAACAGTTCATGTGGCATGCCCCCCCCACCCTCCCGCTTCCTGTGCCCCTGATACACACTGAGACACTAGCTGGAACTTTAGCAGAAGTATTGAAACAAAACAGATAGAAGCTGACAGATATGACTTTCATGAGACAAAATATCTCCAACACTGATGTCTGGCATTACCTAATCTAAAATCTAGATCTAATGTATGATATTTTAGTTCAACAATGTTACAACAACAGCAAGCAACATTGAAATGGGGGAAGGGTTGTCTCAAATATTTTTGGGAGGATTGTAGTTTAATATCTTCTTACGGCCAATCACTTTCACCACTCCAAGGTACTCAAAGGATCGCAAGATGTGTCCACGCAATATATGGCGACCATGAACTGCATTTTTGCTGCCCAGAAAAATGTAAGAAATTCAACAAAATGTACTCGTACTTGAACATACGTTTTTACTTGTCTAAATTTATGATACGTGGAAACAATTCTCTTTTCTTCTTAAACAGAATGTTACAATTGATTCGTGTCTTTTAATGTCAGATTCAGGATTTCTACAACAGGTGAGTGTTAACATCTTTGAAACGACCTGATCACATACTCCTTTCCTGGTTAATCTGAAACACTCCAATGAATAATATTTGATGTGTATTGTATATATACATTTACTAGACCTGACCAGGATACAGAAGCGAAAAATGCAACTTTTGGTTCCTGACAGGAATCGAACCTGCAGCCCTAGAGGGACGTAAAGTTGCATTTTTCGCTTCTGTTGCTGGTTAGGTGGACAATATCCATCAAATCTAAAATTAACCCTGTTTTGGGTAACTCAATGTTCCTGTTAACCCTGGCTAGGTAACTCAATGTTCCTGTTAACCCAAGCTTAGTCCTAGCTTGTTTAACCAGAATTCCTGGGTAATTTAACCAGGCTACATGGACTATTAAACGATGAAATTTAGATAAAACTGGAAATTTTTAACCTGGATGTTTTTAGAGTGCAATTTCGTAAAATTCACATATGTTAATTTTCTCGTAGGCGTCAGATATCACTGGCGGAGTGTACTTCAAAATAACGAAAATGGAGTCTCTATTACAGTATTTATTAGTACGTTAAGATTTATACTACACAACTTTGACTTAAAACTGTCGCATACAACCTGCTTAAAACTTGAGTTGTACTGTGTAAATCAAGCAAATAACCGATTGTAATGTCGTATGTGAAATCTGTTTTAATCGTAGTGGATGTTCCTGCCAGACCCGAATACAAGAGAGAGTTTAGTGATGCCTGGAGCTGTTCAAATTGACTATAGAGCTGCGTGTTTTTGTCATCGAACTTTGGTTGATATTGGTTTTGTATGTTCCGTTTGTCTTTCAAGTAAGTGTGACGCTTTTTATTCAATGCCTGGTTTCAGACAAGGACACGATGCGGGATAGATGGTGATCAACACCAATTAGAATAGGTTGAGACTATATAGTCTGAGATATATATTATTGTGTGTGATGCCCAGTAGTTTCAAAATGTTGCACCTGGACGAAAATTACTTTGTGTAAATCCAGTCAACCAATGAAAATAAAGTGCATTGTTATTATCAAGCCGCAGTTATCAGAGCGAGAAAATAATGTTCATTTTTTTTATTATATGTGCTGGTCAAGACCACCCGTCACCACCACATCACCTGTCACCACCACATATAATAAAAAGAATGAACATTATTTTCGGCTGAAAAATATCGATCTCAAAATTATTTCGTTGCTTCATTCCAAATACATTAAATTGAGAGATAATGGTAATCTCGTTGCTCCAATGACTCAGAGACATACATATCTTATATACACTAGATAGTGCATCTAATTATTCTGCAATTCAAAAACGTGACTACAGACTCAGGATATTCCCATGAAATGAGAAGACTCGTATGTTTTCTATTTCTTAAACAGGGAACTTAAACATTAAGTTAAACCTATTCCAAATACATTTTCAAACTATTCAAATGATGAAAGTTATTGTTGTTTTTTAAGCGTTTATTAGCGAGTGGGAAAACTCCAACATGGCCGCCATCTATTCAAATGGGGGTAACCACTGGAATATTCTTGCCTTCAATTTTACTAAAAGAGATGCGCTATCTAATTTATTTAAGATATCTGTGCTCAGAGATCGATATTTTTCAGCCGAGAATTGTTTCCAAACGTGCACATGCTCAGTAAACTGTTCGCACTAGTTATCAATCTCGTACATAACCTGCGAACGGGCATACTTTGGCTACGAGATTGACTAGTTATTTGCAGTTGACGTATTCTTTGCACCAGTTGTTTGCATCAAAATTAGGCAATCAAAATTGAGACAAATAATTATGTAAATAATGGCGTTTTTTATTACAGGTAGTTCACAGGTAGTTCACAGCTCACTGCATCTCAAGCTGCTTTTATTTTAGAGTTGGAGTTAGAGTTAGAAAAATCGGTCACGAGATGAAAAAAGTGTATTGGGGGGGGAGGGCGTTTGAGAGGCAGACGCGGGGTAAGTCTAGTAGTTATTCACTTGTGTTCTACTTTTTTATATTTTAGTTTACTGTCAGCTGTTACCGCGGTGTCACACATGCCAGTACGTATAATATTGTAATATTGTAACCACCTGTACAGGCTGATGATCAGAAGGATCTTCCGTCATGTAAACTATCCCCACTAAAATCATGTCTGATACTTTCTTGGTACCGCTACAGAGACCTCTTTCATAGCAATCAACAGTAAACTTTATTGAGTGCGACTGAGTGAATTTTTGGCACAAAAAACAAAGGAAAACTAATTTACAATAAACCTAATGACATCATAATCGGAAACTTTGACAGTGAAAAAGTTGATCAAGATGGGATTTTTTATTATAAAGATAAGTTACGTTTCTTCTTCGAAAGACCCAAATATTACACATACAAAAAATTATATTTGTGGTTAGTCGCAGTTTAAGGAAATTCACTAGATTTGTATTTATTATAGTACTGTTTTGCAGTATTGCTATGCAGTATAAACGTTGACACGTTTACCTTTGTTCACTACTGTTCCTAAATTAGTTGCGCGTTTCTTCCTGATACGTTCGCTGTTGCAAACCCTATCTTAAAGTGAACACATCAGTAAAATCACGAAGGTGTCCGCTTAATAGGGGTTCGACTGTAGTTCGTCCAATGATGTAAGACGAATGATGTATTTAATATACACCTAGACGTATCCCTCCCTACACACGCAAATTTGTTTGTGTGGACGAACTTCGCAGAGAGTTCATCTTCACAGATGAACGTTTGTTGGCCGCGCTTATACAGACAAACTATCAAACGAAGTAGTGTTTCTTTGTCCAGGCGAATCGTCTCGAGTAGCCAGTTAACAAAAGTTCTCTCTTGTTGCTAGAACGAGATTCAAGCTTCCCTCGGCCGCCATGACTCGACCCAAAAAGAAAAAGAAGGAGAAAACCGCAGATTGAAGAAGAATGGAAAAATGTAAATATTCTTGTAAAGATGTAAAATGATGTCCAATCCAGGACGAGAGTGGACAGTCACGCATTGGTACGTGGGCCTTCGCTCGAATCGTCGAAGTTCTCCTAATTATATTTTTCAGGTATGGTTGTTTTAATAGAAACAATAAAGTAAAAATGCCATAAAAGTTGAAGGTAAAAAACTATAATTAGCTTTTTCATTATTGCCACTACCTGCACTGACACATCCAATGATATAACAAAATAAAGGTTTGATGTTC